TGTACAATCCGAGGCTTTAATCCATAAAGCTCATACCTTCGTGCCGAGGAAAAGACACGAATCACACGAGTATAATATAGTTCTGCTGGCTTATATCCACCCGCGGTCGTTGCACTAGTTTAATAAAACAAATGGCGAGGCAACAACGGCACCTAAGTGCTCGAAGAAAAGTAATACAAGATTACGAGGATATATAGGATGCAAATGGAACGATATATTACGGTGCCACGAGTTCTGCACGACGTATCGCGTTATCGTGACGCGTAAACACGCGCGGGAAAGACCGAATATATCAATAATAAAACCGCTCCTTCTCTTTAAGTAACACATTCGTTCTGCACCAACGATATTTTAATCTACTATTCAATTATCGAACTGTTTGATTTTCGGAATTGAAACGTTTTTTTCACAAATTAAAAACGCAGAAGCTTACGTGTACGAACGATGTATCCATGTATGCGTGTGCGTTAACATGAATAGGCTACCGAAACTGGGTCGAATTCGACTCCAGCTTTCAAAGGCCATTTTTTTCCCTCCAGAATATATCACATTTTTAGCAAGAAAAACGCATAATTATTTTTAACAAGTTCCATTAACGAAAAAGAACTGAGTAAATACGACGATGTATTAAAGGAAAAACGAAAATAAAGTGCACCTGTTATTTATTTATTTTTCTTTTTTTTTTTTTACATGTTTGTATTTTTGATTCTGCATCGGTAAAATTGAATTTGCCGGGAATCTTCCTCGAGCAATATTGGTATATTAAATGTAGTAGAATCTGAACTGGTAAGTTAATTAATGGCGATTCCTTGTTAATGAGAAACGTACATTAATGGTGGTTCCTTGTTAATGAGAAATGTACATTAATAAATTGAAGGATGTTACAAACATTATACAACATTCGTTAATGAGAATTTGACAAAGTTTCGAACGAATGCGTTAATCGCGTAATGTCCATTAAAAAGCAATCGAACCAATTAGGAAGATACGAATTGCATGCCGCGATAAAATTTTCTTCGACCCAATTCAAGCTGGTACCGTTGTAGCGGCAGTCAATTACTGAAAAATTATATCATTATGCAATAAACGAGGGATATAGAAATAATTAAATGGAACGTATACCTACGTAAATCGGCGCACGAACGAGAAGATGGAATATCGCTGAGCTTTTTACGAACCGATAAAAGTATAATGACACAAATAGTACACAGTGCGCTAGGGAGCAGTGCAAAAAACGGGGCGTAATATTGAGAATTTTTTCGCAATACGTCCAGCATCACGAAATTGGTTTCCATTCACAATTAAATCAGTGCGCGGAATAGGATAATAGAATATCGCCGGCGCGCAACGTTCCGTAGACGGTTCTTTTTTGCAAAGTTTCAGTTCGCGTAGTTTAATAGACAAACACATTACAATATCGATCCCACGTGCGCGCGCGCGCGCGCGTAGCCTCGTTGTTATTTTCGCGTTTATTCCTTTTCGGCGGGGAACAACCGCGAGACCGGATTGCCACGCGAAAACTGGGCCGTCTCGTAACGGCACTTTAAAATTAAATCATATTTTATAATGAAATATCTCGCGCGCGTCTTCCTCCCCCTCTTTTTTTTTTCTCCATTTACGTACCCGCGTTTCATGCCTGCCGAATGATGCTACCATATTTTTAACGCGGCTACATTATGCAAGCAGAACTGTTATTGCCGTAGGGAAACACGTTTTCCAGTAGCATCCTTTTTCGTTTCCAATAATATAGACGGCGTTAATAAATAAAGAGATTCATAAATGAAAAAATAAATCGATAAATGAACACGTATATTCATCAGCTGCTAAAGAGCTGCTCCCGGAAATAAAGCTGAGGCAGCAACATGAAAATGTGCGTTGACGATAAATTAAAGATCGAAAAGTTGGTATGATACTGTATCGTAAATTCAAAATGCGACACATCGTACGCAGAATCGGTTGAGATAAATCGTGAAACATTTGGATAAATACAATAACGTATTCAAAGATTTATCTGAAAGTTTATCTGAAAACCATTTCACTTTTCAATTGTTTTCTATATCTATTTTTAAAAAGATGGCTATCGCTTGCAATAATTTTATAATAATTCTTAAGTTTATGAAAAGGTAATACGCTACTACATTTATCCTTGTGTCACAAATAAACCACAAAAAAAATTAAAAATTCAACAAATTGTTGGATTCATCACTGAATTTATATACTTTACTATTTGTTTCTATCTGATTTATTAATAAATTATTTAATATTGCAAATAAATTTAATTAAATATATTTTAAGTAAATTCTTTAAGTAAATTCTTTAATTATTTAATAAAAGTTAAATATTAAATTAATTATTAAATTCACGTACATTACTAATTTATTTAGTTTTCTTTTAGAAAGAATTATAAATACGCATTGTCCTAAAAATTCAACCCTTCCTAGAAATTCTCGTCATTTTCCGCACTGTCGCAGGTCTAGCATTTAATCCATTCTAAAATTACTTGTGAGAAATAACGTAGCGTAAGTGCACTTAATGTACATTATGGTTACTCATCTCCAAGCAGAACTTGCGCGTACAGTTTGACGGAAGCAAGAAATTCTTAGCCTTGCTCTTAACAGGAAAATTTTTTTTTTTTTTTTTTTTTTAAGTTAAACTTGGAGCCGAGTTTTCCGCAACTAGAACGTCGAAGTGTTAATAGCTTGCTAAAGTTGTACACGATTAAAAACGTCGGGCTCCTTCGCGGGCGCTAAATTACTCTGTAATAAATAACAAAATCTCATAACAATATTCCTTTAATTAATTCCGACCGCCTTTTAACTTAAATCGGATTTTAATCTAGCGCTTAATTATCGGAATATCTAATATCGAGTATTGAAGACTCGTAAAAAAAAAAAAAGAAAAGACAACGAGGACAGAAGTAACGTTTGCCCGCCTTTGCATTGAAGGAACATCGACTCCAGATTGGATGCAGCTGCATAATGTAGCGCCGTATGTACTTTTTATCTTGTTTTCTATTTTTTTTATGATAGAGACGGCAGGTATAGAGGAACCCTGTATCTTTTTTTTTCTCCTTCAGTTTATCTCCCGGGTCATTGCATACGAAATGTTACGCTGGAAAAAGTTCAGCTTTACAGAGAATCGTAAGGTACTGCCTTTTTAATAATTTAGTATTGCATATCGCGTTAAATTCTTCTGCAAAAGCACACGTCACATTTCGCGAGACTCACGATTTTTCAAATTACGAATAAAAATTTACGAAAGCGTAGAAAATTGCAGGGAGAATTATTCCACGTCGTACAACATTATTCCATGATATTAAAGTAGAATACGGTAGTTCGTTGTTAACAGTTCGTTAGTTTGATTAGTTAGCGCGTAGGAACAGTGGGAAAATAGTTCATTGTTAACGTTAAAAATTGGATATTAATGTACGAAATAGGAGAAGAAGCTAAAAATATATTCCATATTTCTCTATGCAGGTATATTTAAGCTTCGATCGAAATGAGACTGTAAGGACCTTCCGATTCCGAAAATGTGGAAAAAATATGGAAAAAAACTTGTGCACGGTTCCTTGAATTTGGAGCCCCAGTAAACAACTCTGCCTCGTATCGTTTCGGAACCGACGATTTCACTGGAATTGCCAAAGCTGACTTCCAGGAAATAGGTAATTTTTTTTGAACCGAGCTTCAAGCGAGGCGCGTGAAACGAAGCGACATGAAAAATGCGCCTTGTGGCTCAATTTTTTGTTTACATTCCCTCCTTTTTCTATTACGCACTGAGAGAAAAGTCTTGGTATTTTTTATTACTATAATTGGTAAAAGAATTATGATTAGAACCTCCATTTTTATTGTTATTACGCCCATAACGTTAGTAATAACAATTATATTTACAGTTCTACATATATATCTCACAAAATATATAGTTGGTGAAAATGTCTATAATTCGAATATTAAATATGTAATCATTCAACAATAATTTATATAAATATTAAATAATCATTTATACGATTATTTTATCAATGTAGGATAATTTTGAATTTGTGACTATTATTGCATGATAAAATAATTATAATTAGAAATTCCACTTTTATTATTGTTATTGCTAATATTAATAATAATAATTATTATATAATATTTGTGCTCCTATATGCCTAAAAAAATATAATATATAATTGCATCGAAAATGACTAAAATTTATATGAATATCAAATAATCATTTATATGATTATTTATCAATGTAATTATAGTTTTGTAACTGTAATGATTACATGATAAACTAATTATCATTAGGAGCTCGATTTTTGTTGTTATTATTGCTAAATTAGTAATAATGATTATATTTATAATATTCGGTACTAAAAAAATATAACTGACACCTAAAATGACTATAATTCATGTGAATAATTAATTCTAATTGCAGATCCAAATTATTTCCAACAAATGTCTTTTACAATCTTACATAATTTTAAGTTGCATAATTTTAGTCCTCGAATTTTGATCTTCAAAATAAAAAAAATTATTCAATTATGTTAACTTTAAGCAAAAATATTAATTTAAAGCACATTGGACTTGAGAATACTAATCAAGAAAATTTCGAAGCGAATATCGATTAGCATTAAGTAATCATTATATAATTATTTTATCACCCAAATCGTCACGAATACTAAATAGTTCTCTCAATACGCAAACAAAACCTATTTCCTCACAATTTACCAGAAAATCGCCGCTACGTGGCAAACATTTCACGTACAACTATCCGATAAAGCCGTACAATCGCGAAAAATCCTTTAATTATAAATCAGATCGTCTCCTCTATCGCACGTAACCACTTAACTTAAAGATCCTCGCTTATCTTGAATTAAGGATCGTCGAAATTACGGCGGCAATTCGATCCTCGGCAAAGAACATCCCCGAAACGCAAAGATACATTTTTTTTCCTTCGGAGAAGCACGTCGCTGAACGAGCTTCGTTTCGGCGGGGTAAAAATTAATTAATTAACAATACCTTTTACGGTCGGAATCAAGCAGGCGGCGACGAGCACCAGGAATCTCATCCCGACGAGCCTCATCCCCAGGAGCCTCTCCGCAATCACTCCGGATGCTTCCATGGCTTGTGGAGGTTCGCTTACGACGGCACAAAAGCACACAGACACACTTAACACAACCGCAGAGTCTCGGACCGGATTAAGTGGCGTGAAAGAGTTGACGAACTCGCGCTGTCCACTCCGCTGGAGAAGGAAAATCTTTCTTTTTTTTTTTTACCACGACTTATCCTTGTTACACTTTTCTCTCACATATCGTACGTGAACGATGACTCGCGACACACACACGCGTGACGGTGATCTCGATCGAAAACGTAATAATTCCTTTTAAGAAAAAAAAAATCAACGCACCGGTTACGCGGTCACAATCTCGCTCTTCGCTGTCAACAGATCGTCTCGGCTCCGCTTCGCTCCGCTTCTTCTCCTCTCTCGATCGTCGACGGGCGTCCTGAGAGAAACATAACTTTGGACAACGTCGAAGTCGTCGGTTGTTAGAACCTCGATAACGCGCTTCGCTCGGTTTCACGTGAACGCCAACATTCGCGATTCTTTTCGCCGCTGTGTGATAAGTAAGAACTCCTGGCAGTATCTTCTTCTTCTTCTTCTCTTCTTCTTCTTCTTCTTTCATTCTCTGCCGATTGGGTCTC